CCCCAGGCTGACAGCAGACAATCGCATTTCGATCTGCGAGGCCTCCAGACATCATTTTCTGGGAGCAGGGAAATCGTCTCAGCTGTGACCCGGGACATGCTCTCATTCAAACTCTAAACGAAGGAAGCCAATTACTCAGAACAAACTACGACAGAGGGTTTCGGGTGCGGATGCAGGAGACCTAGAAACCTGATGAAAACCCCCAAAGGGCTGTCCCTGTCCCTTCCCTTTCCCTCCGGGAACAGTTACACACGCCGGCGCCTGGAGTTGAGAACATCACCGAGTGTCCTCACACTTTCTAGTCTTTCGCGGGTCGCACTCACTTTTAAGGTCAGATTTAGTAACGGGAGAGCCTGCCTCGGGTGACAGCAGGGACCCCCGTCCATGCCCAAACCCTGTTTCCCTGGGTGTCAGTCTCTGGGCTGCGGCCAGCGCCTCGCGCCCCGGCCTCCCTCTCCGGGCTGCCTGCCACCCGGGTCCCCTCCCAGCATCTCACACCCGCCTCTGCAGGACCCTGTCCTCTCTCTGGACGTCTGTCCTGCCGTGAGGATGGCTTCTCTTTCATTCCCCAGCTCCCCCCAGGACTGACGCTGGGCCGTGGTGCCCGGCCCCCTTCACAGCAGGTTTAATTTAAGGGTGTCTTAAAGGAGCCAGCACACAGACAAGAAAACCGCCCCCTCAGGGTCACACTCCTCCTCCAGTCCCCAGCTCGCCCAGGGTTTCTGAGGCCCCTTCCCTCCTGGAAGTCAAGCCAGCTGACTTCACGGACGATGCCCGAGGTCAAGGACAGGGACCTTGAAACACATCCCGACCCCCCACCCCACGGGGAGGCCATGCGGGGAGCCCGAGGGGCTGCCCCCACGACGACCCTTCCGGATTCCGTGGAGACCCACGCGGGCACCTGTGTCTCCTCCCCTCCACACATGCTGCTCTTTTTACTTTAAACTTTATCACATAGTAAAATTGACTTTCTTGGGTGCTTGTAATCAGAGGAAAACAACATGAAATACTTAAAGATTCACTCTCCTTGATTTTAAAAGATCAAACAGAACATTGGATGGGAAGATGTTTGATTTTAAGAGATCAAACAGAACATTTGATGTTTCCCACCAGGAACCAGCCTACTTCTCAGGTGTGAGCGTGGCCAACATCGCTGAGCTTATGCCAGTTTTCCTTCCGCAAAGTCTGGACGGCAGGTTGGTGTGTTTGCCGTGTTGTGTGGGTGGGGGTGGGGCTCTAAACCGTAAAACATCGGCTCCGCCAAACACCCGCTGCGCCTGCAGGGGGTTAACGCCCGTCCCGGGTGCGATGCGGGAGCGCCAGGGAGGGTAACCGGCATCAGCTGTCTCGGAAGAGCTCCGACAGACCCCAGCCTGGAGTGAGAAGTGTGGCGTCTCCAGTTGCCAATGTTTAAAGGGTAACGTTTTCTCCGTTTCATTAAACAGAACGAGGGCCTTTTTTGGGGCCTGCTCTAGGGGAAATCCTGAGGGGTCCCTTCTGTAGGCGTCAACCGCCAGTGGGGAAAACACCAGCAAGTTGGAATAGCTTCCCTCAGGTCACGCGGCCTGTCAGGGACAGTCCCTGGTGGACACGGTGCCCGCTGCTTAAAGGGAGACAAAATCCTCAGGTAAGGGAGAAACTCAATGGGTGGTAAATCTTTTGCAAATAATTTTGAAAATGAAAAATACCAACAAAGTACGCCCATAATTATTCCCAGAGTGACCGCGTCTGTGCCGGTGTCCAGGCCTAATTATTAACAGGCCCCCTGCCCGACTCAAAAGTGTCACGGGGAGGACGATCGTGGCCCAGGCGCCCTCACTGCTCTGACTGTAAACATGTTACGAGCAGCCACTAGAAAGCATCGCGCCCCCTACACCGCTGCACCCCCAGCACCGGCCTAAACGCTTCGCGGTCGTCGCGTTGAACCGCCCGAGGAGCTTAGCCAGGCGTGAAAAGTAAAGCAACGCGTCCAAGCTCAGACGTCACCAAGCATCAGAGTCTGGACTTGAACGGCGCCCGTGAAGGGGCCGCCGAGGGCGTACCTGGGCCTGCCGAGGCGCGGGGTCGGCTGGCAGAGGCCTGGCGGGGACGCTGGGCGCGCGGGGAGCCTGGTGGAGGGTCGGGAGCACTCGCTGCGGCGAACTGGGCCGAGGGAGGTCCAGGGCCTTGAGGGGCCTGCTGATGTCAACGTCCTGGCACTGTGGCAGCCTCTTGGGGTTGTCCTGCGGGGTCAGAGCAAAAAGCCATGACGCACGGGTCTTACAAGTGTACAAAATCCCCACGGACACGGAACGGTGAAGGTCTGGGGGCGGAATAGGGCCTGGGTGGGGTGGGGAGCGGATGGGGCACATCTGCAATACTGTCAACAATAAGAATATATATATATAAGAAATTAAAGTATATAATCATCACTGGTATATGGGAAACCACTCATTGTTTTCTCATATTGGTCTTTTCAATGTCAATAATTGTGCATAAATTTCCTGTTGTAACAGATTGCTTGCACACTGCCGTCACTTGAATGCTCTACGCCAAAAACAACAACATCTGTGAATAATAAACATGTTGTTTCATCCTCAAAAAACAGTATATGTAATTCCTTACGTGGGAGGTGGGGTGGGGTAGGGACAGAAATCAAGGAGGCGCGTGAGAGGGAACCTGTCATTATTTATTTAAACGTCAAAATTCTGACGGGAGCACCCCTCCCCCAACCTGGAACAGAGGGATCGATCGCTAAGTGAATCGCTAGTTTAATTCATTAACTAGCAGGTTCAAGGCCCCTGAGGAAGCGCCACGTGAAGACACGGGTGGATCCGAAGGGGCCGGAGAGGAGCTGCGAGAAGGAAGCGTCGCCCCGGGGAGGCGCCCGGGCCAGGCCGGGCGGGGCTGAGGCTGGGGGCACTGCCTGGTGCCCGGCCTCAGCGACGGGTGAGGCTGGGTGAGCGGGCCCCGTGAGCCTGAGCCTCCCCCGCCCCCTCCTCCCTCTTCTCTCCCTTTCTTTCTAAAACCAGCGTCACTGAGGCATACCTGACACGTGACAAACTGAATATATTTAAAATGTGCGGTCTGGAAAATTCCGACATACGTCCACACCCACGAAACCGCAGCAAGCAAGACACTGAACCTGCCCATCACCCCGAGATTCCCCGCCACCCCCTTCCCTGCAGCGTGGCCCTGCTCTCCGTCACCACGAGTTCGCCCGCGTTTCCTAGGGTTTCACGTAAGCGGCGCCGCAGAGCCTACGCTCCCGTCCGGCTTCTCTCCCT